ACGGCTTAGCTCCCGTCCTTTGCTGAGTATTTACGGACAGAGCATTCCTATTTGAAATGTGTGGTGCTGGCTCGGTTTCAGGTTTCGGGATTTTCGAATTTTGAAATGCTTGCATATACATAATGAGGTATCTTGGGGATAGGGCTCAAGGCAAAAAATAGGAAATTTATTCATGTTTGATATGAACTGAAAGTAACTTCATTTATTTACCTATTTTGAGTTAGAGTCTCACTATGTAACCCAGGCTGACCTGGAGTTCACTATGTGGACCAGGCTGACCTTAAACCCACAGAGATGCACCTGCCTCTGCCTATGTATGTGCTAGGACTGAAGACATGTGCCATCACTCCGTGCTTGAAAGTAACGTGGACAATATTTTAACTACCTGTGTGCATGCCACAAAGTCCATGATACGGTACCTCTCACTTGTGGTATCACAGTGCCACTTAAACAATTCTAGATTTTGGAACATTTTAGATTCTGGTTTTATAGATTAGGGAAGCTCAGCTTATATTCTTGGTGCCAGGGATCTGTTAAAATTCTCTTAAAATACCAATAAATACTAATAATTTTACTGATAGATGAACAATGTGATATGTATCATTCCATGCCCTCATTGACCAGTTTAAATCTCATAAAGTCCCACAAAAGGCAGATTTAGTGCTATTGTTAGATCAATTCTGTACACACAAAAATATAAAACCAAGAAGTTATAAGGTTACATAGCTGGCAGACCACATATCGTGCATTTGAAGCCGGCACCGACTCTGAAAACATTATATGGGCTCACGCCTTTAATCCTAGCAGAAACAGGTATATCTCTGTGAGTCGGAGATCAGCCTGGTCTACATAGTGAGTCCCAGGCTAGCCAGGGCTACATAGTGACAGCATGCCTTTAAACACATATAAAACACATTTCATAAAATAGGTGTGCATATAATAGGCTAGACATCCCTTGGGCTGGAGAGATGGCTCAGCAGTTAAGAGAACTGGCTGTTCTCCTAGAGGACCCAAGTTCAATTCCCAGCATCCACATGGCAGCTCACAACTATCTGTATCTTTAAGATCTGACACCCTCACACAGACATACATGTATACCAATGCACATAAAAATAAAAATCAATAAATTATTTTAAAAAATAATAAGCTAGGGGCTGGAGAGATGGCTCAGAGGTTAAGAGCACTGGCTGCTCTCCCAAAAGTCCTGAGTTCAATTCCCAGCAACGACATGGTGGCTCAGAACAAACTAAAATGAGATCTCTTGCCATCTTCTGGCCTGCAGGCAGAATACCGTATACATAATAAATAAATAAATAAATAAATAAATAAATAAATAAATAAATCTTTAAAAAAATAAACTAGCCAGCCCACAAATGTCTGTAACTCCAGCTCTGAGGTATCTAAAGCCCTCTTCTGGCCTCTGCACACACAGACATACCCCTTCCCCAGTTCACACACATGCATACACTTTCATGGACACATACACACAAATCAATTGGCTTTTAAAAAAAAATGCTAGCCATCTGGGCAGATAAAATGGCCTGGCAGGTAAAGACACTTGCTGTCAAGACTGTTGAGCTGTTCTTTGGCCCTCAGGGTATCCAAACTTCACATGTGCATAAATAAATAAGTAAATCTTCTCAAACTAGGTTGGGACTTCAAGTGAAGTCTCATTTTAACTATGGAGTTCTATGTCAACGAGGATATTTACTTATCCATTAACATGTTTCTAATGAAATTGTGCTAGGTGCTTTCCCTAGCACTTTTGGCTTTTGACTGGAGCCAATTTTGCCTTCTGTGGCACCCTGAAATGTCTGGAAATGTTTCTGTTTGTTATAGCTTGCAGGGAAGGGACACTAATGGTACCAGCTGAATGGAGACCAGAAAGATGCGGAATATCTTTTCATATGCAGGGCATCCTCGGTGCTTCTCCGAATGTCAATGGCCCTGCGGCTAAAGGTCTTGATGTGGACCATCAGAAAAATGCACTGTTAACTTCTTCACAGTGAGACGTAAGAATCTGAGTCTGGTCTCACATGGTCAGTGTTGTGACAACAGGTATGCACCCAGGCCTTCTGAGAGCAGCTTCCCACGGCTGCCATCACCACGCAGTTTTTCTCACGAGACCCTTTAGTCTTACTGCATTTGACTCTTTTTCCCATATGACCTTTAATTTTGTCAAGCTTCTATCCACAAATTCAAGAATGAGGCGACAGATATTGATACGCCCTTTACCTGTATCACCCAGGGTTTTGTCTATTTTGTGGTATTGGGGATGGAATCCAGGACTCAGACGTTAGACAAGCACTCTTTCAATGACTGCTTTGTATCCATACTCCTCCTTTAAAATTTAGTTCTGGGGCTGGAGATATGGCTCAGTGGATAAGAGCACTGGCTCCTCTACCAGAGGTCCTGAGTTCAATTCCCAGCACCCACATGGTGGCTCACAACCATCTATGATAGGATCTGAAGCCCTCTCCTGGCCTGCAGGTATATATGCAGAGTACAGATACTTAAAATATAAATAAATAAAAATTAGTTCTAAGAAAGAAATAAAAGAAAGAAGGAAGGAAGGAAGGACAGAAGAAAGGAAGGAAGAAAAGAAAGAAAGAAAGAAATCATTATTTGAGGCCCAGATCAGCCTCAAACTTGCAATCCCTGGCTTAGCCTTTGGAGTAGCTAGGGTCCTGGGCATGCTCCGCCATCTGTGACTAAATCCTCCAGCTCCTAACACTTCCTTACTCGTTTATTACTCCTTCTGCCTGCTTATGAGTGTCCTTGGTTTACAGGACACTCATGTGTCTAGAGTACACGTGGACTGAGGTTTGATCTCCAGTACCCCTCAACCCCACTCCCACTCCCCTAAAAGACAGCAAAAAAGAATTCAACAAATGATGTTTAGAAACACTAGCAAAAGCTGAAACACACACACACACACACACGTGCGCGCGCACACACACGCACGCACATACACACGTGCACGCACACCAATGTCATCAATAGCTATTGACAGTCCGCTTGACACCATAGTTTTTTCCATGCCTTCTTGCCCACTCCAAGCAGCTTCTTTGACCTTTTAAAATCTGGACCAATTACCTTGCAGACTAGTCTACATTATGGACCTATCTGGCTGTGTTCAGGATTAGCGAGATCTGGATGAAATATTATTGTGCAGGAACCTCTATGAAGCACCCACCTCATAGAGCTTTTGAGGCAAACTGGCTATTTATTGGTGATGTTAATTCCATCTCATATAGAAAGGCCTCAAAGATCTCCAATAAAAAGGATCATTTGACAGTCTAAAATTACCAAGTGATTTGTGGGTTATTATTCTGGTACCATATAAGCATCCTACCCCGCCCCCCAAAGAGAAAAGTATATTTGCCATCTTTCAAACTATGAAGCTTTAGAGAGAGGAAAAACATCCACTTCACCTTTTCCAGCCTGAGTTCCACTAGCAGCAATAGTATCTCCATTTCAGTACTGTGGCAATGATAGTACCAAACCCCCAAATTCCTATATAAAGCTCCAACCTACAAAATGATGGGGGTCTGGAGGCAGGGCCTTTGGAAGGTCAGCAGGCTTAAGTGAGGTCCTGAGAACTGGGCTGCTGGGCTGGGATTAGTGACGCCAGAGACAAGACACCAGCCTCTCTCTGCCGTGTGTAAGTCAAGAGCGCTCGCACTGGCACCCACCTGTGCCAGCACTTCATCTCCAATGTCCAGCCTCCACAACTGTGGAAGTACACGGTGGAGGAAGCTATCCAGTCTGTGGTACTACGTTGGCTCCCACTGACTAAATCAGACTCGGGGCTAGAAGTTCCTTTAAAAGATTCTAGTACGTCATTGGGTCCATAGATAGTAGAGATCCCGGGGGAGCTCCTGAGTGGCTAACGAGGACAGGACTGGGACACTAGGTGGTCCAGCTGGACTGACTCCAGCCTTCTAGATGAATGAACCTCAGAATCAAAGGGCATCACAACCAAGCCACAGATGCCCAGACACCATGGTCACATGCTTATTCCCACTGCCTAGCCCATACTCAAAAGTGGCAGAGACGACAGATGGGTTTGCATGTTACAATTGTCTCTCACCAGCTATAAGACCGTGGGCACATACATTATTGACCCTGAAATTTGGTTTCCTTATCTGTTAAGGTGGCTATTAACAGTTGAGTTGAACAGAAGTGTCATGGGGATTGTTGGGAATACCATATAAAAATTGTAGGAACATTTAATAAACACAGGGAAGCTTTGGTTAAGTATAAAGGAGTGGAATACCAGATGTGACATCATATGTCTATAATTCCAGGAATTAGGAGGTAGAAGCAGGAGGACTCCAGTTCCAGACTAGCTTAGACTTTATCCCTACCTTCTGATAGGACAGCAGCTTAGATAGGTGGAGTAGACAGAACAGAATGCTGGGAGAAAGAAGGCAGAGGCAGAGAGCCGCCATGAAGTCGCCAGAGTCAGACATGCTAAATCTTTCCCCGTAAGCCACGACCCCGTGGTGATACATAGATTACTAGATATGGGTTAAACTAATATGTGAGAGTTAGCCAATAAGAGGCTAGATATAATGGGCCAGGCAGTGTTTAAATGAATACAATTTGTGTGTTGTTATTTCGGGTGTAAAGCTAGCTGGGCAGCGGGAACGCAGCCTGCCGCTCCTTTTACAACATGAGAGACCCTGTCTCAAGGGAATAAAGAGATGAGTGACAGAGCAGGATACCCAGCATCCTCCTCTGGCCTCCGCACCTATGCATGGGCACAAGCATCAGTGCACACAAGGGCACACAATGCACACATGGGCACACACGTAGAGAACCAAAGGAAGAAAAAAATAACAGGAAGGAAAACAGAGAGTATGGTGGTTTGTACAAGGAACGGAGGGGGAGAGAGGACAGATTTAAGCACTGAAGTTACGGTTGCACTCAGTGGACAGTCCCTGCTGTACCAGCGGGGGATGCTGGCAACAGCCCCAGCAGTGGGAGGTACTCACAGCTGACCTGGGAGCCCAGCTTATGCTCCCAGACGGCGTGTAACTGCTGATACTCCTGCTGTGCCAGCTCCAGGCGCTGCTGCTTCACCTGGTAGATCTCCTTTTGTGCACTGAGAGCCTCCTGGGCCACCACCAGGTAATCCTTCAGCATGTGCTCTTGCTCCCGCCGCCATTGCACCCTCGGATCCTCGATCTGAGTGGTTTCTGAAACAGATCCCAAGGCAGTATGTCAGCACTCTGCAGGTACTTACTGGCTCGGTTGGTGGACTACGGTCTCCACCACTGGGAATCAAAAGGACAGCGTGCAGAACTCCTATAAATGTAAATGGGTTAAACTTACGACATGGCAATGCAGCGCCACCTGGATTAGTCACACAACCAAAAAATACATCAAGAGCAGGTTTTAACTGAACCTCAAGTTCTGCCTGATAACAACCAAGAAGGAATTGGTTAAGGACATAATAGAGGTTCAAGGTCATCTGCTATGACTCAGTATAATCAGATTTTTAATATTTATTTATTTATTATGTATACAATATTCTGTCTGCGTGTATGTCTGCAGGCCAGAAGAGGGCACCGGACCTCATTACAGATGGTTGTGAGCCACCTTGTGGTTGCTGGGAATTGAACTTAGGATTTTTGGAAGAGCAGGCAATGCTCTTAACCACTGAGCCATCTCTCCAGCTCCCAGTATAATCAGTTTTAAAGCATATGAATAGGTACCCTGTACTGTTTGCAAGGTAGACTACAATAGTATAATAATATAAATTAGAAGGAGCCTTAAAATATTAATACCCATGACCAATAGACCAATAGTTCCTCCTATAGTAATTTATCATGAAAGTAATATTTATAATTCAGGGGAAGATAGATTACACAAAAACACGATAAAGAGCAGGTAAATATTAAATGTTTATTCTGAGCCAATAGCTGCTCTAGGTACTTTATACGCACTCAATTCTTCAGCGTTTGCATTAACTTTACACAGTAGACTCTGATCTTACTTCCATTGTGCATAATACAGAATTAAGACACAGAAAGGTTAAACAACTGCTTCAAGGTCACACAGGAAGTTTTATGCCTGAAAATAATATGCATTTAAATCCATATTTAATCCATAGTCTCATCTGCTGGGCTTTTAAAGATTTATTTTTAGTGACTCATATGTGTGTATATCTATGCGTGGGTCCGTGCACATTAGTGTGAAAATCTGCACAGATCAGAGGTGTGAGATCCCCTGAAGCTGGAGTTATAAGTAATCATGAGTCACCAGGTTCATAATGAGTGCTGGAAACTAAGCTTAGGTTCTCTGCTAGAGCAGAACATGCTCTTAGCGGCTCAGCCACCTCTCTAGCAATTGTTGGGCTTCTTGGGTAAGAGTCCTTGATACATTCTGGATGTGGGTGCTGTGCAAGTATTTTCTCCTTTTCTCTGGTGTGTGTGTTTCAAAATCTTTCAGATTTTCTCCCACTTCATTTCTCCTCCCTTTCTCCCCAACCCTGCAATTGGTCTTGAGTTCCTGGTCTCAAGCGAGTCCCTGTCTAGTCTCTCTAGTGTGAAACTCACACTTGAGTTAAGATCACGCAGAGTGTCTAGTGCTCAGACCAGACGTCTGCTTTCAAGCCAGGCTTGGGGGTTTTGCCTGTGTTTCCTTTTAGGTGTTTTCTAATTTTAGCTTTTAGGTTCAGGGCTGTGACCCATTTAGAATTTGCTTCCCCATATCGGGTGTAGTAAGGATAGAGGTAAAGAGTGCTTTCCCTTACCACATTTCCATATGGAAAGCAATTGTACCAGCAGCTCTTGAGGTCTACTCTTGGTGGCACCAGGGTCTCAGAAGATTCCTTGAGGGAATCATGTTAAACGTTGTTGGTTCTGAACTGGTCACTCTGTACAGTGACTTTCCCACAGCCCAGGCCTCCTGCTGCCCTGGCTGTGTCTCATAATGCTGTCCTCCTGGGGCAGGCTCTGCAAGATCATCTTGGCTGGCTAATTTTCTCAGTTCTTGTTTTCACTAAAGTTAGACATGTTGATGACATGTGTACAGTTATGACACAGTTGGACAGTTAAGCATGCTACAGTGTGTGCAACTGAAAACATCAACCCCTGTCCTCTCTTCCACACACATCTCCCCACAGGAAGGTAGCCACCTCAACAATCTTTCAGTACGTCGCAGTCATCTTGAGAACCCCTCACTCCCACTGCGCCACGTTCCAGATCTCTATCTATAAACACATTCTCCATGCAAGGGTATACAACTACTGCACTCAGGAGCTTTGTATAACCTCTTCTCCCCTCGCCTCCCTACTTTTAATTTTGGGCAGATTCGCAGTCTGCGCCCACCATTGACCTTGAACTCACTTTGCAAATCAGGCTAGCCTGGAACACAGAGATTCTCCCGCCTCTGACTCCAGAGTGGTTGGACCTAAGGTGTGCTCTGCCACACTCATTCTCCCTGTTGTCATGTGTTATGTAGGGAACGGCAAAGGGAAAGCCACGCCATTCATTATGGATACAATCTTCTCCGAATATTTTCAACTTGAGGTGGGCTGAATCCATGGTTGTAGGATTCATGGGTACAGTGCTGATGTCAATAAGACACAGGTACCTTTAGAAAATTATCACAGAGAAAAGCAAATAATGAGCCTCTCTCTGTGTACAATACAAACAAGTAGGGGGAAAGCCCAAAGGGTTAGCAACAGGGGCATTGCGATACCTTTGTCTTACGTGTTAAGATGTATCATATATCGTCATAGAATGCACTGGTGTATTTTAAATGGTCAGTATGAGCATCCTTCAAACATTCAGGAGAGACTGAAGAGGAAACATCGAAGACTGTAACTTGATCCCAGATTCTAATCGCCTAGGCAGGATGTACACAGTCAGAGGGAAACCCAGTGCTGACACAAAACAATGTGGGTCGTGTTTTGGAGTTCTTTGCTCTTATGTTCAATTTCTCCATCTTCTTTCAGACTAAATCTAGTCAGGCTTTTGTCCCCAGTTCTTGTCCAAAGTTGCTCTCCAGGGTCAAGGTCACCTGTAACACCTGAATAGCCAAATCTGTCGGCCAATTCCCAGTTCTCTTTGTGTGACACCACCGGGGGCTTTTTCCACAAGCTGTCTTCCCAGACTTCTCTTGGTTTTCCCTCCCACCTTGTGGCCACTCCCCAGTCAATCCCGATTATTCTCTCCCCACCCTGCAGCCTGCAGCCCCCATGTCGTTCTGTGGTCCTCTCCTTTCACGATCTCATCCGTCCTCATGCCTTTGCCCACAATCTATATGCTGACATCTCCCAAATGGTCATCTTTATCTTCAGCCCATGTCCTTTTCCTAGAGTGCAGGTTGCGACACTAAACTGCCGAGCCACCTACTCCAGGCGTGCGAAGGTACCCGAGGCTCAATATTTCCAAATAAAGCCTTTTCTGCCCTTCTAAGCTGACTCCACCTTGCCGTCCCCGCAGTCAGTGGATGACAACTGTATCCCTTCCTGGCTCAGGTCCGAGGAGGGTCTTTCCGACCTTTTTCTTTCCTACTCTATATGTAAGCAATCAGGAAGTTCTGACTACTTCCTATTATCTCTGCCCTGGTTTGGAGCTCTGGTTTGTTCCAAGCACTTCCACGGGGCTCTCCACTTTGATGCTTGCTTCAGGAAGCTCTGTTTTCTTAGAGCAGTCAGATTGGCCCTGGATGACGTAAGTCACCTCAAGCAGGTCCCCTGTTGATAGCTCCGATGGCTCCCACCTCAAGGGTCAGCTTTTCAGTCACACCTGCCTCCCGCTGTTCCCCACACCCCTTCCCTTCCTCATTCTTTGTGCTCTGGGCATTCCCAGAGCTTTGCCACCCCCTCCCCCACCCGGAACAAATGAAACGAATGTGATCAGGCCTCGAAGCTTTTGTGCTCTCTGCCCTCTGAAACAGTTCCTTCCCATCCTAGATCAAATCTTATGTTGCCCACAAGATGGCCTTCCCTGAAGACCGGCCTTATGACAGTCATCATTGCTGTCCTTCCCTCACTTCCTGAGATCTGTCCCAGCATGCCTCAGTTCCCAAAGTCTGCTCTTCCCCGCATGGGACAGAAACATTTTCTCACATACAACATCATCTACCAACGATGTTTATTTTCTGTCTCTCTTGCCTGCATGAAATTTCCGTAAGGGCAAAGAGCTCAGTCAGTTTGCACTCTTGTGTTTCCTTAGCTCCCAGAACAGGCAGTCGATAAATGTTTCTGAAGGATGCAAGCTGAATTGTGAATGATGAACAATCTGCTCACCTATATGGAGTCTATAATTCTTTGTTGTTGTCTTTTGCTTGTTGGAGACAGGGTCTTTGTATGTATTGCTGGCTGGCTTCGGCCCCAAGACCCTCCTGTCTCAGCTTCCCTTGTCTGGGCTTACAGGCATGTAGCATTATATCAGTCTCACGACTTTGCGTTGGTTTGGTTTTTGACACCTTAACACAGACTGTAGTCATCTGGGAAGAGAGAACCTCACTTGAGGAACTGCTTCCATAGATTAACCTATGGGAACGTCTATGGTGGGCATTTTCTTGATAAAGGATTGATGTGTAAGGGTCCAAGTCACTGTGAGTGGTACCATCCCTGGACAGGTGGTCCTAGGTTGTATAAGCAATTCTCGGAACGAGCCATGGGAAACAAACCAGTAAACAGTATTCCTTCATGGTCTTTGCCTCAGGTTTCTGCCTTGAGTTCCTTTTCTGGTTTCACTTCATGAGGGACTTATAGGCTATCAGCTGAAATACCCTCTGCCCTGCAAGTTGGTTTCAGTAGTGGTATTTGTTACAATAACAGTAAGCAAACTAAGACAGACTTGGAGAAGAACTTTGCCCAAGAATGACATATACAAGCAAATTTACTCCCATTCCACGGCTCTGAATGGTTAAGCCTCAATAGTCACCCGCCACCCTCATATTTGTCTCGATTTTGCCTTCTACAAATAGGGTATCTTCCATTCAACAAGACTACTTCCAAACCAAAGGGAAACCCATAGTCTGTCAGCTGGTTGAATGCTCAGATAACATTCTTCCTGCTTGGTTCCCTTTTATTACCCTTTGTACGTGTGCATGTGCGCACACACATATATAACCACACACCACTTCTGCCATCATCCCCTGGAGAATTAAGTCTGCCACAGCCTGCTAGTCCCTCCTCCCTTCTGTTCTTCCAGCAGCTCCCAGAAGAAGCACCTTAAAAACCCCACTCCTGCCATGAGATTTTAATGAGGGGGACGCTCTCAGCAATTAGAAACAGGAAAGGACTGATTAGGGCTCCGGCACATTGCCGTTTAACCCAGCATCTGATACAGCCCTCCAAGCATTAACCTCATTCCCCATACACACTCAATTAGGCATATTTACTTCTCATTATCCAGTGCGCAATCATGAGTGCTAATAAAAACCTTTGCTATCCCCAACAACGCCATTAATGCCATTAGCCGTCTCTCGGATGCTCTCCTACGCTTTGTTGCCAACAACAGGCTGTTCATTCATCCAGCTACTCACGCGTTCACGCACAAACACACCCTTCTCTACTTAGCAAGGGTTAAGTGCACACCTACGGCGTACCTCAGTGGGCAAAGGCTTGGAACTAGATAGAATTAGACACAGGAACTTCCCCAGAAGACATAGCAGTAACAGGCAAAGAACATTTAGAAGAGGAAATGGATGGACAGAGGTACGACTCCATCCTTCGGTATCAGTTCAAATCCCAGCTCAACCGTGTTTACTCCTTTCCCCCTTGCTTGAGATGGGTCCAAGGCTGTCCTGGAAAAAAAAATCACTGTGTAGTCCAATTGGCCTCAAATCCACAATCTTCTTGCTCACCCTCCCTAGTGCTGGGATTAGAGGCATGCAGCATCATGCTCGCCTTTGGCCCTGTTTCATCTCTAAGTACTGAGCCTCCAATTGCTATCTCTACATCTCAATGAGATGACGGTAGTCACCGTAATACCCCACAGGGTTTCAGGGGCACTGAATATAGGACACGGACTATTGAGCATCTGCCACAGCACATGGAGCAACCAAACCACAGGGGCAGTTAGGAGTTGCTGCCCCCTTCTCAGCCTCCAGAGGTTGCCAGGCATATCCCAATCCCTGTCATCTTCCTCCGGTCTGAAAGGATAAAGAGGATCTTACAGTTCTAAAGACATACTAAGAGGAAAGCCTTGTCCCTCTGCACACCATTTCAGAGGACAGAGATTGTCTTGGCTAAGAGAGCACACACGCCACTGTGCTGTGTGCGTCTCTTGTCTTCGTCCACTTGATAGACAACATGCTTCTTCCCAAGTAGTTCCTCTATCACGGTCCCAGAAGGAGAGAGCAGCAGTAGGTATATTCATCTTGGATCAGAATACTGTGGTCACAGGAAACGAGAGTGGGCTAATCTACTAAGAACATATGTGCGTCTACATTGCTAGAGGCGCGGTAGGGTTTCAGATGCTTGAATATGACAATGTGCATTTATTTTTTAACGGGAAGACAGCCATCCATGAACATACACACATGAAAAAAATGTGCATACAGACACACATGCGAAAACATGATTGGAAATATTTGAAATGACACAGAAGGAATCGTCAGCAATATTGCCTCTAAAATCAGGGAGCTGGATCATGACAGAAGTGTCGGATTCTATTAAAAACCCTCCCGAACTGTTGTTTTCACATGAGCATACATTATCTATCTATAACCACACTGACATCTCTAAGTCTACATGAAACAAAACACAATCTGCCTTCAAGACTCTGCTGGGGCTTCTTCCAGATTGTGGAGGCAGGAGATAGGAAGGGGAGAGTCACAGGGGTGGGGTCTGGGGACGGGAAGAGCAACAAAGAACTTACTGGTATTGTGGTCTATGAAGTAATCGCCAACCTGTGGGTCATATGCTTCTTCCCATCCTAGCGGCAACTCATCGCTAATGCAGTCAGCAAAGGTAAGTGGTTTGGTGTACCTGGTAAGGAAGACAAGAAACACATTCTGTCAGCCTACAGTCCCCAACACTCCTGCAATGTGCCGTTTCTTGTGGACTCCTGACTGTTCAACAGGTCCGACCATTTTACACTATAGCATTACATCTGCGGGGCCCCGAGCCCCTGGGAAGGTGAAGGCATTCTGCAGTAGCATCCATGTGAGGCTACCCCAGGAGGGAGGCAGAGAACGTATTCTGGTCCTAACGCTTTGCGCCTAGCTTGTTACTGACTTCAGAAAGTCATCTCTCTGTCTGGGCCTTGGGTTTCTGCATCTCCAACTGATAGTTGCCACAACAGCTCTAAGGCCAAGCCTTGGCTTCATGACTTGGATTCCAGCCCCCTCTGGCTTTTCCACCTGCGGTTGGCTGGCCCACCCCACTCTGGTCTTTGTCCTGGCTCTGTCTTGTATTTGTCATGCCCATTTGCCCTTCGAAAAGCTGGCCTCCTGCGGGCTCTAGAGGAACAGACGCCCCAGCCCCAGGAGTCTGGCCAGCGAGCCATATTTATTTGCTGATTGAGTTGGTTCCCAAACGCCTGTACCCACTGCTGGCTCTTCCCAGCCCGTCCTGGCCAAACTGATTATTTGGCAATAATAACCCCCTAAGGCCCCATCTCGCAGGGTGTGAACTGGCGGTAATCACCGAGTCTTAGTGGCTAAATCAGACAGATAAACAAATCATGCAACTGAAGTAGCAAAGGCTTGTCAAGGCTGGAAAACTGCACATACACCATTTGTCCAGGGTTTCATCCGGAGAAGAGGAAGCCAGGAAACTAACACGTGGGGCCAGTGGTTCCCCCAAGACAGCCACTTCCAAGTAGTCCCATTGCTGCCTTTGTCGAGGATAACCACACGCTATCATGCCCGTGTGGAGGTCAGAGGACAACTTTTGGGTGTCGGTTCTAGTCTAAGACAGGATCTTCCTTGTTTTCTGCTACTGTGTGATCCTCCTGTCTCTGCCTCCCAACTTGCAGTAGGGGGTTGCAGATTTGTGCCACTCCTGGACCCCGGAGAAAGAACTCAGGCCATTGATGTACAGCTAGCAATTTTATCCACGGAGCCATCTTTCTGACCTTTAGACACTCATTCTAATATTCCTTTGTTGGAGAATATTACTTTAAGGTGCGTGACTTTTGTTCTTGCTGCACTTGTTCAACTCTGTGAAGCTGTGATTCTTTGCCTGTCTAAAACACCTGATGGTCCTAATAAAGAGCTGAACGGCCAATAGTGAGGCAGGAGCAAGGATTGGCAGGGCCGGCAGACGAGAGTTCAAATAGAAGGAGAAACAAGGAGAAAAGGAGCAACGAGAGAACAAGGGGAGGAGGATGTCCCCGGCCAGCCATCCAGCCAGCCACAGGTTAAGAAGAAGGCAGTCAACCTGGCAAGAAACAAGCCAAGCTAAGGCCGGGCACGCATAACTAAGAATAAGCCTCCGTGTGCGATCCATCTGGGAGCTGGGTGGCAGGCCCCCAAAGAGTAAAGAAAAAAAACAAACAACAGCATTCCTTTGTTCTGTCTTTTTTCCTTATTCCAGTTCTGGGGGTCCAGGAGACTCTGCTTCACACCCTTTCAACAGATTAGCAGACCGGGTACAGTGGAACAGGAAGGGTGACGACTCCTTAACCTCCTAATCTCTTCCTTAACCTGATGATTGCTCGCTTCTCGAACCCTGGATGTAGGACTGCGTCAGAGGTTTCGCTCCTGGCCAGGTGCTATGGGAATCGATGGAACCCTTAGGAATTGAGACTTAGTGAGAGGTCATTCGTCACTAGAAGTGTGCCCTGGAAAGGGAGAAGGGTGGGACCCTAGCCTTTTCTCCCCATCTCTTGCTTTCTGGTCTCAAAGTGAGCAGTTTTGCTCTGACTCATGCTCCTGTCAAGATCCATTACTCAAGGCAAGAATGTCACAGCTATCGATGGAAGTCCCTAAAATGGTGCTCTATAACGAACGCTTTCTCTTTGTAAGCGCCTCACTGGAGGCCTTTGACAGAGCAACGGAAAGCTGACTAGCAGCCCAATCTAAACCAGACTTAAAACAATATGGCGACAAAGAGACACTGAGACATTGGGAAAGCTCCTGGCTGTCAACACAGTGATGTGCTCACCTGCCCGCTTCATACTCAAGGCTTCAGAGGCTGTGAACTGCATCTACATTGGCTTTGGTTAATAATTCACTGCTGCATTGTGGGAGACTGTGGTTCCGTGAGACCGGGGCCAGGGGTATGTTTTTATACGCAACAAACTAAGAACTAGCAAAGAAGAATCCAATAAGCATTGTTCTTTAGTTGAGTGGGCTGGACAAGAACTTAATCTCCCGGAGCCTCAGAATTTTTCATCTGTGAAGTAGAGTCTAATATAACTCTTTGGGATGTTGGATAGATTAAACATGATCACGTTTGGAGCTAAAATATGTAGTACGATGGCTTCGGGGGAGGGCAGCACAGCAGTTAAAGCATTTGCAAGATGATCAGAGTTTAGCTAACCAGAACCCACAAAATGCAAGGTGGGGGTGGCAGCCTACTAATAATTTCAGCTTTGGAAGGCGGAGGCAGGGGATTCCTGGAGCTAGACAGCTAGTGAGACATTTATACTGGCCAGTTTGGGATTTGATTGACAGTCTCTCTCAAAGAATAAGAAAGAAGAGTGATCGAGGACAAGTCCTGATATCAATCAGCCTTGGATGGGTGTACACATGTTCCTATACACATGTGAACACACAGAAGAGGACAGGGTTTAAAAGGTTATACTTGTCTCTTCTTCATTGTTTGTGTGTGTGTTTTGACGCGGGTTTCACTATGGCCTCAAACTCTTGGTATTTCTGCCCCCAGCTAGGATTATAGATTTAAAACAGTACACCTGGTTAAAAGGCTATAATAATCTCAAGAGAGCTGGAAAGGAAGAGGAAGAGAGAAGGGGGAAGGGAAGTGGGGTAGTTTGAATGTACTCGGTCCTCATAATCTCAGGGATTGACACTATTAGGAGGTGTGGCTTTGTTGGAGTGGGTATGACCTTGCTGGAGAAAGTGAGTCCCTGTGGGGGCAGGCTTTGAGGTTTTCTATGCTCAGGATATCAGTGTATCAATCAACTTCCTGTTCTTTGCAAGCCAAGATGCAGCCAACACCATGTCCGCCTGCACACCGCCATGCTCTCTGCCATGACGATAATGGACTGAACCTCTGAAACTACCCCAATTAAATGTTTAATTTAAGGAATTATTAAGGCTTAAGGAAGCCACCCCAATTAAATGTTTTCCTTTGTAAGAGTTGCTGTGGTCATAGTGTCTTGTCACAGCAATAAAAACCCTAATTGAGCCAGGAAGGAAGAGAAGAAGAGGAGAGGAGAGAAGAGGAGAGAGAAGAAACTGAAAGATATGAGTGAAAATATCTTGAGGTTAGGGATTTAACTTGGTAGGCAGAGTACTTGCGAAGTAGGCTTAAAGCCCTAAGTCTGACCCCTAGCACCACATAAAAATGAGTCTGGGTGCACACAGTTGTAATTCCAGAAGTGGAGGCAGGAAGAGCTAAAGTTCAAGGTCAACCATGGCTATTCTGCAAGTTGGAAGCTAGCCTAGGCCACATGAGACTAGACTTATAAAAAAAAATCTAGTCAGGTGTGGTAGCATATGCCTTTAATGCCAGCACTCAGGAGGCAGAGGCAGAGCTCTGTAGGTTTGAGGCCAACCTGGTCTACATTGTAAGTTCCAGGCCAGCCATGGCTACATCGTCGTGATCTAGCTTAAAACAAATAAAAACTAGGTATACAAACTTGAATATGGTGTCAGTTTTCTTTTTCTTTTATTTTAAACTAAGCTTGCTGTAACAGGTCTATAGTAAGCATAATTAAATATTGAACAATGATCCTATCTAGGCCTACGACGTGTACTAAGAAAATCATGTTCCCTCTCTGGGTAGTAGGTGTTCTTGTTCGATTTTACAAATGAAAGCACATTCTTAACAATGCATAGTTAATACACCAGAGGCTCAGTCTCCTGAGGCTCCCAGGGCTAGATCCCACAGCCGAAGCTTTAGCAATGAAAATTAACAAGACCCAGCGGGTCCCAGAACAATCTGGAGCTGAACTAGGAGTTCGGGAGAGGAGACTGAATGCGGAGGTGCAGTGCAGACAAGAGGCACTGGGGTTTCACGGGCTGACTGCTTTCGGTCACTGGGATCTTGGTACCAAACTGCTCATTAACCCTAGAAAGTCTGCGGCTCCTACACACAGGAAGATTAAATGTTTCCAAGCCACAAGCACAAATTGGGGCTCTCAAGGTAACGGCGATGGGAATATAGGAGAATAGGACCCAAACTTCATGAAGTTTCCAGAAACTCATGAACTCCACATACTACTCCAGCCTTGCATTAAGAAGGTGAAGCTCTCTGGTTATTAGCTGTAGCATCAATGATGTGATGGACAAGAGAGAAAAGATGCTGATTCCTACGGGCAGTGACTGCAGACATCACCAGGAAGAAATGCACAGCAAGAGGGCTCATCCAAAACAGCGGCCAGAAGAGGAAAGAAAGGCTTTGGGTTTTGTATTTGGGTTCCCCCTGGATGCAGCCATGGGGGAACAGCCAGCTGATGCTCAGTGTGCTTCTATGGGAAGCAGGGAAGTTGCTATGGGGAGGAACTATACGACTTACAGAAATCTGGACAGAAAAGTTCTCTTTGGCACAAATGCCAAGAGGGAGATGAATTATTCAGTGTGCAGAGAGGTGTCATTCAGAGAATCAGTATGAAGAGAAGTGTTTCAGCCTTGCAGGCACACACACACACACACACACACACACACACACACACACACACCCCTAGTGACAGGCAGAGCTATCTGTGGACCCTATCCATCCCCAGGAGCTGGGTGCTCCCCTGGCCTTCCATGTTCACCTTAGGAAGGGGTGTCTGCTTTCACATGAGGCCAGGATCTGGAACTCCCAGCCACAACCCCTCCAGCCCCCGTGTCTTGGGCTGCCTGAAACCCCCAGTC